TGATCATTGATCATCTTTTCCAAGCACAAATCTGTTTAGCTTTCTTGGGGTTGATTCATCATCTTGTTATTGGGGTTATTCTTATTATTGTTGTGTGGCACCTTGTATAAGGGAGTTCTCATGCATAATTGAGTTAGTTCCTTTATCATTTGGTATCAGAGCTTAGGCTCTAAACAGATTATATCTTTATCCGCTTTCCATTCTTCTTCATCTTTCTTTCTATTTTCAACCATATCTAAATCCACTACGTGTGACTCTTCATCTTCTCATATTTGATTCATCTTTTATCATACTTGCTGGAGAAAAAATTTTGTTTTCAAGGGAAAAAAAAGTGACTCTTCATCTTCTTTTGATTCACACCATTTCACTCATATCTCTTTCTTTTCCATTCTATTTTGCTTATTAGAAAACGTTTCTCTATTTGTTTCCTAAATTTTTGATTTTTGTGACTTTTCACATTCTATGCTATATTGAAGTGTTCTTGCATGATTCTCATAAGAATACTATAAAGACTTGCTAAAGTTTGAGATATTAGAAGTTCAAATGTTTCAACAAAGGCGAAGACGTCGTGAGAATCACGTTAGTGAGGACCYGTTTYGGAAGTCTATGAGAGATAATTTTGCTGAAATGYGCAAATCCATGAAGTACATTTCAAAGTTAAATCAAGAATTGAAATTGAGGGACCAAGCCAAGGAAAGACAASCTGCACAATTCGTTCAAAGGGAGGAAGATTTTCCCGAGCCTCAAGAGGATGARAAATCAATTCAAAAYGAGAGAGAACATCCAAATCTCCAAAAGGATGATTCGAACAATGTTGAGGTCRTTATGTGTGATGCTCAAGAGGAAGATTCAAATGATGAGGTTGTTATGTTTGATGAGAAGACAACCGAAGATTGTAATGAGTTATGCTCTGAAAAAGAGGTGGAGACAAAAGTARTAGAAASAAAGGACGGTGAAAAAAGTGACAAACGAGAGAAAAGTGTTGACGAYCATATGGGTTTGGTTACGAGAGTTTCTAAAGCTAGTATTGTTTTGTTTTCAAAACGACATATACAAAAGCTTGTAACCAAACGAAGTTGCTTTCTAACGGGTGCACTTAAACCAATTGTACCAACTTTTTCTTTTGAATTCTTGCAGGAGGTCAAACTGCTTGTTGAAAAGCTAAATTCAAGAGTTGCTTTTAAAAAGAGCCAATTTCATTCACATGTGACATATGAATCCAAGAGGCTGCACAAGAAGCATCATTCCAACTTCACTTCCTACTGCATCCAAGACAATAAATTCAAAGCAGAGGGGGATCCAAGTAGTACAAGGCCGTGGAATGCACATGACTTCAAATTTTCCATGCAAGGAGATCCTTTAGATTCAAGGACGAATATTTTCGAAGAATGGGAGAATGATATAGAAATGAATGATCACAGAGTACATGGGGAAAGTCTACAAGAGGAGCAAGCTCAAATCAGCTCAAATGAAGCTTATGCTCAAAGTCAACCCAATCATGAGCCAATCATTATGCCACAAGGTCCAATCACAAGAGCTAGWGCTAAAAGACTACAAGAAAGGTTGAATGGTCACTTCCAAGCTAAGGTGTTCACACTTGGTGAAGAGTTGCATCCCTTCAAGCTTGAAAAGACATCTTGTCCTCCAAGAAACTTCATGAATCTAAAAATCCAGATTCATCCACATAAATCTGGAACAAATGTATTATACTGATAAGTATCCTCAATTGAATAAATCACCACAGTTCAAGTAGCTAAACAAAATTAATGTTCTTAGAAGAATAACGAACTGTCAATCCTAAAACAAACTTTTAAAAAGGAACTTAACAGATCAATTTATTATTCTAATAACAGACTTAAGCAACAAATAAACGACTAGTACTATCCAATTCAAATTGAAACTTAATAATGCAATGTTAAATGGTCTCTCTAGTCAAGTCTTCTCCTCGCCATCACCATTCCAAGAGTCAACTCGTTACCTGCAAAACTGGAGGGGGAAAAAAAGGGATGAGTACAACCACGGTACCCAGTAAGCAACCCTATCTGAAGGGTCACGCACAATCAACATGCTTATCAAAGAATCAACATATCATGCTTATCGTTAACTTCAAGTCTTAAATGAAAAGGAGCATATTAAAAGAAGCAGTTTATGTATAAGTTTAACTAAACATGCACTATACATGTCAAACTCATCCTCACATTCCAACTCACTAGTTCTCTTTCCTGATTCCTCAAAGACCCACTCCTTCGAGTCGTTTCGACCGCTGACCTCCTATAGCCAAGACATCGACACTTCTCTACCGTGCTCGATGTTGGACCTTGACATTTATCCCCAATGCCTCAACTACTACTCAATGTATTGGTCCTTAGTCTTGAACCAACTTATAACTTATCACATTATGTTAGTCCTCTAAGTCTAATTCCTCGAATCGTATTGGCCAATTCCATTTATCCCCAAGGCCCCGACATTCATCTATAGAAGCTTGGCGTTCGACCTTGCCATATATCCCCAAGTCCTTGAACTGTGCATCGACCCTTGACATTTATCCCCAAGGCATTGATGACTACTCAACGTATTGGTCCTTGACCGCCACCACATCAAGACCCAAGACTAATTCAACAATTAGAATCATCGTGCCGACCCCCGACCTTTGTACCTGGAGCCTCGACATTCATATCTACCAAGTTGGGTATCGATCCCCGACCCTTGCACCTGGAGCCTCAATACCCAACTAGTGACGTGTTAGTCATCTGGTCCTGTTACTCATCCACAAACTTCATTATATCTCAAAACTCTCACCTCAGTCCTACATGATTTTGAGTCATGACCCATGCAGAGACTATCTCACAATAATGCAACATGCGTTATACACGAAATATATGCCACAATCATCCAGACATGGCCATCCAACAACACAAGAACACATTTCTCTCAACATTCAGCATGTTTTACACACCACAACATATATAATTCACAAAAGAGACGTAGTCGGCATATATAAAGAAACGCATCCAACACTCTAAAATGTTTCATAGTAATCAAAACACACCCAATATGTATAAAGTAGTACCGACCGCAAGCAATCATGCAACAACACTCATAGGTACATAAACAAACATTTCGTTCATAGCAACACACAAAAAACAATCCCAGTAAGAAACTACTTACAAACAAAGAACCTAACACTCCTAAGCTTCACCAAAAGGTTCCTAAAACAAAGATACAATCTTGGATTAGAATCCAAACATAAACACTTAAATCAAATCCAAAAGAGGGTCTAAGCGAGTCATTACTTACTAACTCCCATCGAACCCACTTCGATTAAGAGTGGGTCAACGCCAAGGAGGTTGGGGCTTCAAAATCCAAGTTCGAAAGGTTTTGCGCTTGCTTGTTCGATGCCAAACACAATGGGTAATTCGAATCATCCTTCATTCGAGTGTGGGTAAGTGTCGAATGGATGTCGAAGGGGGTGAGTATCACGAACTAACATCGGATGGCTTCGAATAAGAGTGGGTAATATAAATCAAGCTTCGATTGAGTGTGGGTAAGCATTGAACGTAGCTGAAAAAGGAAAATTGTCACTGCTGGTCCATTTGTGGCAAAGAAATAGTGGCGTCGCGCTACTGATTGGGCCGTTCAAAGGTCACTAGATCGGGACTGTTCCTGTGTCTCACCGTCGGGTTGTCCAAGCTTCGAACTCCACCAAGCTCGTGCCACCGCTTCAACGCCGTTGCAGGTAATCGAACGGCTCAAAGGTACCGTCAGAGGAGCTGTATTTCCGCACTGTTGTAAAACAATGTGCGAGGGAGAGGAGAACGTCGTGGAATGCTCA